ATATTGTGTTGAAAATTTTTACAAATCAATTGGGTGTCGTTACACAGTGAATGTTGTAGCGTACACAATAAATGATGTACTAATCTAAGAGAGTCGGAAAACAACCATCGATATGCCGCAGTTGGACGTATCCATGATCCTTACATACGTCTTAAAACTACTCTAGGTTCTAGTACGGTCCAAATGCTCACCTATACTTGGATAAGTTGCTAAAGTTAATTACTACTTCCAAATGTAGAATTTTAAATCATATGATATGTTAATTATTTTTTATTTATTTATTGATTTTCTTTGAGAATCAATATAAAATTCTACCTAACTATTTAAAATTATATTACTCTTATTATATTTTGTTAACAATTCTTACACATAGGTATAGTTTGTTTCCAATAAAATGTTCAAACACCATAGAAAACTTTTTTAACGTTTGAAAGTAAGAAAAATGAAAACTTAGGAATTAAGATAGCTTAGCCAGTGGGGGAGCAAGCGGGTGCTTAGCCACCCCAACTATTTCAATTTATCTCTTATATCTTATTGGTTGTTGGCTCAATTAAACCACAAACACCCTTATCTCTTTGAATTTTAACCGGAAACATGACTTTGATTTTTTAGAAAAGTTATTATATGTTATTAATTACGAACTCTCGTCATATACTTGCATGTCCTATATTCTGGCTTCCATCTTTCAAAATGAGAAAATCCAAATTTTAAAACAAACTATAATATCATGACAAATAACGACGTATAAATAGCAATTTCTGATTTTAAAAATTTTCCGAGATAATCTAAATTTGAAATTCAATGTCTAAAATCATAAACTAAACGCTTTTTCTCATCACAATCTACTAAAAGTTATATTTTCCTTTTCATTTATAATATATATGTTGTAAACCAATATGAAAAGAGTTATATTTTAAATTTGTAAATTTAAAGAACCTATAAGTCATGGTGTTAGGTTTGTAGAACACAAAATGTAACTAATTTATTTGTTTGATTAAAGAGGTAGTAGAAATTAGACAAAATTTGTAACTTAAGACTTCTATCAGTTATTCTAAAGTTATTCTAAGATGATTATTTTGATTAGTTTTTGTGACATCCCCATTTTCACGGTCAGAAAAAACCGATTTTGTTTATGCTTGTTTGAAAATCAGAGTAACATTTTAAATAAAAGTGTTGCGGAATTTGTCCCAAAACAAAATATGATAAAGATTTATGAAAAGCATTTCCAAGGAAATGTATTTCATTAAAAGACTCGGGATGTCATGTTCGATACAGATCAAAAGCATAAACAGTACAACATAAGCCTTACTACATTATTTCATATCTACAGGCCTATATTTGTAATCCCTCATCCAAAACATCACATCTATGCTCGAGCGCCACTACCTGTAATACATGAAACTGAGTGGGTCAGGCTTGGGAGCCTGGTGAGCACATAGGGTTTTCAACCCACAATAAATAAGTTTATTAATTTCATCAATCAACAATAACCCGATTACCCGTTCCCGTTATCCTCACTTTACGTCCCTAAACACCTATCATAAGGGACCTAGCCTAAGGATCATCATCGGGATGGACACTACTGCTAAGGGGGTTCCTCAACAATAAATGTCCTAAAGGCAACCATGAGGGGGATGGAGTGCACCGGTGAACAGATCGTTCACAAACACCTACAGGTTGCTAGCCTGCTAGCGTTCCACTGGACTGTCTAGAAGAGTCTGTGGTCGTCATCTATACTCCACTAGATGACTGGATCACCAACAACATCGAGGTCTCTCATCATTTTATCACACATCGTCTTATTACATCTACCCATGTTTTACCCCAACATTTTTGTAGATATAAAATACATATACAATTTAAATCATTTAAAACATGTATACAAATATTTCAACAGCTTAGACAGCAAGTATTCAGATAATATGCACACATAGCATGTAATTTATATAAAATACTTCATATCTATGTGTAAGATGAAAGTAACTATGCACTCACCTGATTAGGTGGTGACTCGGTACTTGAACAGCGCTTCGTTATCTCAAAACAATTTTTTTCCTTGACCAAAACCTAGTATCAATACCACTAGAGTTTAGTTTTAACGTTAACCGCGACTAATTAATAGTCTAGCTATTATTATTATTATATAAGCGTTAAATAACACCCAATATAGCTCATAATAATAGCCCAAATAATTATTTTAAGGACCTAATAACATTACTATAATTATTTAAAAGTTATATTAAAAATTGCGTAGGCGTAGCTCACTTACAACGGATTTTAAAGAAACCGGGCTTTGCTCGGAGCAGCGTTTCTGAACCGAAAGACCCTTTTTCTCGGGACTCCGGGAGCCTCGGGGCTTCCTTTGGGTGCTAGGGATTTTTCCTAGGTTTTAACGGGGTTAAGGGGTAGTGAGAGAAAGTAGAGAGAGAAAGAGTTGTGAAAATGTGTGAAAAATCCGGGAGAATTCACATGGTATTTATAGGGGCCGAAGTTCGGATCTATGCGGGGCGTTCAGCAAGTTACGCGGGGCGTAACTTCGGATAAGGGTGCCAGCTTCGCACAGCTGGCTCGCACTCGCAAGAGGATCAGGTCCGAAGGTACGCTGGGCGTACCAGCCTTGGACGCGGGGCGTAGGGCGAAGCGAGGCGACGTGGCGTTCATTGGATGCGAGACCGTGGGGAGCAAGGGAAGGCTGGGATTGAGCCACGTCATCGCGTCTTGCATCAGATTTCGCAAATTGCACTCTCGACTTTAAAAATTTGTAACTTTCACATACGAGCTCCGTTTTTGACGTTCTTTATATCCACGCGTAGGCGGGAACGTACTCTACAACTTTCGTTTAGACTCCGTCGGCTAACTCTGACTTTATTTTAAAAGTTATATTTTTAACAGGCCGGGACATGATTGGTCTGTTAAAAATTCATAACTTCTTCATCCGACGTCCGTTTTCGTCTGTCTTTTTATCGTTATGCTACTATTAACGAGATCTTTGATTCTCGTTTAGGTTGTGTCAGCTAATAACCGCTCGATCTAATATTCGAACTTCGGGCTGTACACTGCTAAGCCGAAACTTCGAAAAATCATAATTTCCTCATACGAAGTCAGATTTGGGCGTTCTTTTTATAGACGCTCTCGGTTTAACGTTTTCTACGACTTTCATTTAGAGCGCTAAGGCTAAAATTCGCTCCATCGTAAATTCACTATTTACGTTTCCCGGTGTCGTGCCGGTTCCGTCGTGAAACTTTGACGGGTCATAACTTCTTCGTTATAACTCGGATTTCGGCGTTCTTTATATCCCCAGAATCCTTATTTCGACCACTACAACTTTCTATAAAGATATAGGGCTTATCTCACACTTTAATTTTGACGCTTATTTTTATTCTTTATTAATTATACATTTATAATTAAATAATAAGCACACAAATACACATAATTCACATAGTATTCAAATATTTCATCTTTATTACATCAAAAGAGTTACAATAGTTGACCTAGACTATTACATCGTCTAAAAATGCTTAGCCCCGAAACCCGGGCGTTACAGTTTTTTAGGAGGTTGATTATATGTATTTATTCTAATCTATGTATTAACTTGTTAACATTATTGTGTTTAATTTATAGTTGTTAATTCGGCTAAAAAATCAATAGAATTTTGCAAAATATAGATACAAGTGTAAGCCCCCTTATCCAAAAAATTTGGCTCCGCCCTGGCTTACTAAATCATGTTAATATAATATAAATTACTTTCTAAAATAAAATAAAAAAAAATAAATGTTTTCTAAAATTTGATAGATTACAATTGTAAATTATATCAACTTTGATGAAAAAAATATTTGTTCAACAAATTAGCTTGTTATTATAGATAATAAGGGTAAAGTACATTACTATATCCTGCAAGTATCCCTTTAAACATCAATTCCTAAAAAATACATTCCAGGTTGTTCGCTTCAAATTAACTATGTCTTATGTTTTTTTTATTGAAAGTATATAAAAAGAATCACATCTACGTTCCAAATAATTATACCTGAAATGAAAAATAATAGAGTGTGCAACTTACAATTAAAAAAAAAAACCTAAATCAAGGAAACAATAACACAAATAAAACCAAAGTAAATGTCTAAACCTTATACATGAAGGCTAAATACATAAATCACAATTCAAAACTACTCATAAACATACAAAGTTGCAAACAACCGCAAACAACCTAAACAACCGACATGGGATGCAACCACCTAAAAATGAAATAGAAGGGTAAAAAGAAAACACCAAATGGTCTTCCTAATTCCTACTATAATGCACCAATTATAATAATTGGATTTTATTAAAATTCTTTGAATAAAAACAAAAGCCATTAGTTTAGTCTTTTAGCACCAACCACGAAGTGTCCTGTCCTTCCTACTATAGAGTCACAATTAAAATATTTGGATTTTATCATCTTTAATTGAACAAAAAATAATCTACATTCATTTAATTTATATTTTAAGGAACATACTTTAAAACTAAAGATTCGTAGGCATATGACATAACTTGATAATCAAGATTTATAAACACTGAGATTTTATAAAATTATGACAAAAAGCATTTTATAAAAAGTGACATTTACTCAAATTTAGGATGCTATGAAGTTTAGTAAATATCAAGTGACGCAAAAAACAACATTTTATAAAATAAATTATACAAATTTTGGTTTGATGCAAAAACCGACATTTTATTTAAGATGAAACATATATAGATTTAACAAAAAAAACATTTTATAACAAATTTGCACTTGATGTAAAAACATATATTAGCAATGTATTTACAAAGATTTTTAAAATCGCCTATGATAACCTTTTCTCTCAAGCATGAACATCAGGTGGAGAAGATATCCAAAAAACTTCAAGAAACACGCACACACATATGATACAGAGCAAATCTACATCAAAATCAAATATTTATGCAACTAAACAAAAAAGGAAACTTTAAATGTCGAAGGAGAGAAGAATTACCTTCTCTATGGATCACATACCCTGAAATAAAAAAAATAAAGATGAAAACTAAGAGGGTCAGTGAAATGTTAGACCATTTGACATAACATGTTACCTGTATGTTGGTGAATATGAATATGGAAAGAGATGCAGAAGCGATCTGAAATCATATGATGACAGAATCAAGAGAATATGAATATAACCTGAAAAAGAGAGAAGGTCGTGATGGTCCGACATCATTGCTATCGAAAATCATTTGGGGAAGGATGAAGATGGATAAAAAGAGTACCCTGAGAATTTGGGCATAGTGGAAGATGGGAGATGAATTCATCTTCTGTTCTTGGACGGTGAGATTTATAGCAGGGGAGGGAACAAAGATGTATCTGCGATGGGAGGAATAAACAGTTTTAAATCCCTAAAAAACAATTTGTTTGAGACACCAAATCATTACTTATAACTTATTTTAAATGCAATATTGATACCTTCGTTAATTTAATCAAGCACATAACTAAACCCCAAAGTTAAAAAAATAAGTAATCATGAATAATATAAACAGATTGACAGTAGATTGATGAAAACAATGTTAGGGAAGTGGACTAACCCAAGAACAGATAAAGCAGTGAGAAGAACAGGTTTGAGTTGTAATCAATACCCAACAGGAATAGCACCACGGAGCTCGATCACTGGAAGTGTAGCTAAAGCAAACACCACAGCTTCATCTGGCTAACCCTACCCTCTTAAGAAATTAGCGAACTTCAATCCGAAGCTTGAAGCTTTAATGGACTGCACAGCCGCATGTGCTTCTTGTGCTTTAGCATCCGCAGGAGAAAATGCATATAAAGCTACCAAAAAAGATGCCCACAACAATGCCCAAAATAAGAATTTCACTGGGGAGTCTTCAACCACCGGTAAATTGTCGTCTTTTTCAAGTTTTTCGAGAAACACGTTTGTTGTTGAAGACGACGTTGAAGATTTTGTTGCTGTGCAACAAGGGTTTAGGAGAAAATTGAGATGAGATGAGGTTTTATAGGTTAGATATGGTTTTGAAATGGAATTGATTTGATTGTTTTCGATGAATAATAGGGTTGTTGGAAGGTTTGAGGGTCTGAAACCTGATTTTTTGTAGGAGATTGTCAAGGTTGTTGAAGGGTGCGGGAGATAAGAAGCCATTGATGGTAGAGAGTGAGCTTGTGCGAGAGAAACAAGGGTTTTAAACGCAACAACTCAAAGGGTTTGGGGTGCGGGAGATAAGAAGCCATTGATGGCAGATACATCTTTGTTCCCTCCCCTGCTATAAATCTCACCGTCCAAGAACAGAAGATGACTTCAATATTGATGCCTACGAAGGGGGTGTTTGGCTTAGCTTTTTAGGGGTGTCTGACTTCAATATTGATGGCAAAAGTCCTTCTTGGAAAAGTTACAAAAAGTCAGGTTTTCCTGACTTTTTCAAAAAGTTCATTTTTACTTGTATCCAAATCCAAAAGTAGCTTTTAAAATGCATTTGCCAAACATCTTTTACCTTCTATCTTTTCCTAAAAGGACTTTTGACTTCTAAAAAGCTAAGCCAAACACCCCCGAAGATCGATACTACGATTGCAAAGTTGATTTTAACCTCTTTTAGCCATAATCATTACATCAAGGTGTTGTTTCTAGGAAGAATCATCGGCTGCCTCTTCGTTTATAGCTAGGGTTTTGAGAAAGTGAGAGGGACTGGTTACCAAAGAGAGAGAGCGATGAAGGATACGAGACTGGCACTCTGCCTTTTGAGCTTGTGTTTAGGCGAATTAAATGGGATTACATACGGTTGTTCAATTACCAAGTCAAAAGAAGAGATAAATGAGGAAAAGATAATGAGCGAAGTCAAACTAAAAATCAAATCTTTCATATAATGCATAAGAAATTTGTACTGTTAGCTTAATGGTTTGAACGTCTTAAATCTATTTTTAGAAATAGTAAGGTTTGTATAATAATATAGTAAGATATATATTCCATAATTATTCATTTTTATATACGTACATGACTTATGGCAACATTTTGTTAAATCGTGACGTCAACTACAAGCATTGGAGCCATGACGTTCCATGACGAGTTTTTTTAAACCTCAAATATAATAAGATCACAAAAAGACTAACATGCATTTCTCGATTTTCTGCCTAATTCAAGATGAATGGATAAAGTTGTACCTTCGACGAGGCTTACTGTGATTTGTAATGCTCGATTTTGAGTTGATTAATTATCTTTTGAAGCTCGATTTCAAGTTGAATGAGCATATTGTTTGAAGTAATACATTAGATTTTTTTAGCATAAATAGCAAATTTTCTAAGATTTGAAAACTTGAGTATAAAATAAAGAATAAAGTAAAATAATAGGTTAAGATAAGATTTTACATCTAAGTAGAAATTCTATCTCAATATGGATTTTGCTTTCTCTATATAGGAAGATGTTAACAAAACCTACATTTATTTATCTCTTTAAAAAATCAATAATATCTTTTAATATCATAATATATTATTTTTATTTCTCACTATTTGAAACAAAAGTCAAATGTATTTAATTGTTTAGTTTTAAACCTATTGACTTGGTCGACTTTGTTCTAGAGTACCCACATTTCATTATTAAGAAGTTTATAATTTCAATTTTTTATATTATTATATACTTTAGTTAATATGAGTTCTCAGTGTTTGTTATAATACCTTTTATGTATTTTTAATATTTATATAGTTTCATACTTATTAGAAATTTGTTTAAAATTAAATCGACCCATAAATGATAACATGCTTTATTGAGTTATATCTAGGTATAAATTACCTAATAAATAAGATCATAAAACACATAATATCCTTCTATTTAATATTTAAGGAACGCGTATTTATTTTAATTTTGACTTTTCCTGGTAGAATTCTTAACATCTTCCTAAAGCGAAAGCTAATGCCGTGTTGGGTTCGTGATTCTCAAATTCTTCAAGGTCAAAACAATTTCCCAGAATCACGAACCTAAACCCTTCACACATCTTCGATTTCTCTCTCACGCCCGTGATCCTGTTAAAGCTTCGTCTTGTAATCGTACACCCTCTTTCGCTTTCGATTTTGGTGGAGGATTAACGATTTTGCTCAAGACTTGATTATAATCGTAAGAACACACGACTGCCTTTACTTTACTGTGTTTTAGTTGTTATAATTGTTCTTAATTTTCTTAATGATCATCACTGTTGCTGCATATGAACTGCACAAAACCAGAAGTTTTTGGTGAGTCCGGATGTTTGTGAATTCGGAATTGCAGAAACAATGTTGTCTTTTATGTGGTTTTATCACGTATGAGTAATTAGTCTAATTGATTTCGTTTTATCTTATTTATGCCTCTGTGTGTTCGTTTTATATGAGCTTGATTGTTGTAATACGGCAGCTCTGGATTCTTCCAATTCTTCTATTATCCGATTTGTTTGAAACCTTAAGGTTATTAAACTTCTAATCAAGCTATACTCTGGCTTTCCATCTGTGGCTATCCGATTCTATTACTCTATAATCAGTAGAGAACATTAGTAAGTTCATTATGAACCGCATTGGTAACTGAGTATTCGTCCCATTTGAACATTTCAATCCATTGATGTTACTTGTCCTCATTAATCTCAATTTCTCATTGTCATAACTGAAGAGCCATTATAGTTCTTGTTATCTTTAAGGAGTCAAGACACATTTTTCTATTCTTTATGAGAAATCCCCAATTGAATATCATGATCTTACCTATTCTTTATGCTTTTTGTTGTTTCTTCAGGTAGAGTATTATTTGGACCTGTACAGATAGTAGTTACTATCCATGGGTTGGCTTAGCAGAATTTTTAAAGGCTCCAACCATGAAGTTTCAGAAGGGGAATATAACTGGAGATATGAAGAGAATACAACATCAGCAGGAAATTACCCTTCTACATCTTGGGTAAAATCCATATTTTCACTCCCTTTTTGAGACATATCAATGTATGCAATCTTTGATATTGTAATTTAGAGGGTATTCATTCCTCTTTTCAAATTGATCTATGCAATGTTTGACCTTTTTTCAAGCATTTCACCTTGGTATCTTTCTTGTTTAATACACATAGTTAACCCTTGTCTTTCTTACATGAATAAAACTTTAGCAGGATCCAGAGTCTGAGATAGAAGATATTGATCGTGCAATTGCAATATCACTTGCAGAAGAAGAAGGGAGAGGGAAACATGATGTAATTAGTAAGTGATGTAATTATAATCATCTGTGCTCATATTGTCTTTTTCATAGTAAAACTATAGATTCAAATATATATACTAAAAGTCGTTTGTTTGTTTCTTAAATTCATTGGCTAGGTGATGATTCTCAACTGAAAGAAGATGAACAACTTGCAAGGGCATTACAGGAAAGTCTTAAAGTTGAGTCACCACCCAGAAATAGACATGTAAATGGAAATGGAAATATTTATCAACCTATACCATTCCCATATTCCACAGGATTTAGGTAACTTTATTTATTTCATTATTGCAATTACATTCTTAAAAAATGTGTATAAATTGTATTTATCATTTTGTTGTAGGATATGTGCTGGTTGTAATTACGAAATTGGCCATGGAAGATTTTTAAGTTGCATGGGTGCAGTTTGGCATCCAGAGTGTTTTAGATGCCATGCATGTAACCAACCAATTGCTGATTATGAGGTATTCATTTCATACATATTTTCAAGAAATAGTGATTTACTTTTGTTTATTTATAATTTATAATTTATCCTACTTTTCTCTACAGTTTTCAATGTCAGGAAATTATCCTTATCACAAATCTTGCTACAAGGAGCACTATCATCCAAAATGTGATGTTTGCCAACACTTTGTAAGTATTAATAAACTATAAACTAAAACTACCATTTTTTTTTCTTTAAAAAAATTTAAATCTTTTACAGATTCCAACAAATGCTGCTGGACTTATCGAGTATAGGGCCCATCCATTTTGGGCCCAAAAGTATTGCCCATTTCATGAGCATGATGGAACTCCTAGATGTTGTAGTTGTGAGCGAATGGAGGTATGTTATAAACTTATAATGAATACAATTACTTTGATTTTTTTTATTAAATAATAAATATATATTTTTTTTTTTATAGCCACGTGAAACAAGCTATGCTGCTCTTAATGATGGGAGGAAACTATGCCTTGAGTGTCTTGACTCTTCAGTGATGGATACAAGTGAATGTCAACCACTTTATCTTGATATTCAATTGTTTTATGAAAGTATAAATATGAAAGTGGAACAAAAAAATTCCTTTACTTTTGGTTGAGAGACAAGCTCTTAATGAAGCCATGGATGGAGAGAGAAATGTAAGTCAACATTTCTTTCCATCATTCAATCTTACACACAACAAAACAAAACAAAACAAAACAAAACAGGTTGTACTGTGTCGATCTCTCGCCTATGAAAAAAGAAAAGACGAAAATACCCTCCTCATCTTTTTCATTTCAGGGTCATTATCACATGCCTGAGACACGTGGACTATGCCTCTCTGAGGAGCAAACCGTCAGCACAGTATGTATTTATTTTTACTAATTATTTATTTCCTTAAATACCCTTTTAAAAAATTTATTAGTTTATTCATGATTTGACATGTGGCAGGTTTTGAGAAGACCAAGGATGGGGATGGGAAACCGGGTCCCGGATATGAGAACCGAACCGTATAAGTTGACACGTCGCTGTGAGGTTACAGCCATTCTCATTTTATATGGCCTTCCAAGGTATTTTTATTTTTTTTAATTTTATAAATTGTCAAATTTAGTTACTTTATATACTTTTAATTAATTAATTTAGATTTATAAGATTTGAGTTTGACATAATTTGTGAATAGGTTGCTGACTGGATCAATCTTAGCTCATGAAATGATGCACGCATGGCTTCGACTTCAAGGTTTTTTTGCACTCTTCCTTGAAACTTTTTTTTTTTTTTTTTTTTTGGCATTTAAATGACAAATAAATTATATCTTTTTTGTTTCCTTTAAAGGGTATCGAACACTTAGTCAAGAAGTTGAAGAAGGAATATGTCAAGTGTTGGCTCACATGTGGTTAAGATCCCAAATAGCTTTGATATCAAGTGGGACCACATCGTCCACGTCATCATCTGCCACGTCATCAAGGCAAGGAGGGAAAAGGTCTCCATTTGACAAAAAGCTTGCTGAGTTTTTCAAGCATCAGATTGAATCTGACATGTCACCGGTTTATGGGAATGGTTTTAGAGCTGGGAATCAGGCAGTAATTAAGTACGGACTTCCAAGAACCTTGGAACATATTCGATTGACAGGGACTTTTCCTTTCTAAATTTGGATCATTTTTTTTTCTTTGTGATTAGAGAATGTATACCACTATTGAAATTGCATTTTTTTTCCACGTGTAGATTTTGTCTTTATAATAATAAAATCTCGCATTCTTTTTTTCTTTTCATTTGTTGTTGTTGGCTGCAATTTCAGCTTTTTTTATGATGCTTTTGTTGAAGGTTTGACATAGAGTTGTGAAAGGTGCCAAAATCATCACATACGCAAGTGAAAGGATCATAATGTTTCTCTTTTTTTCAATTAAAAGAGTTGGGTGTGAAGAGAAAATTCATTGCAATTTGCAAATACAAATTAGGATGAATAAGTATTAATATGATATAGTTTTCTTGAAAGAATTCTATGTGGTTTACATGCTTTATGTGTAAGAATTCGCATGTTTTAAATCATATATAATACTATCGTTTGAAGCTTTCACTTGTAGAATTTTTTAAACAACATTGATAGAATTTTTTTGAATGCAAATAACTAGATAGAGAAAATATATTCTTTCTTAATGTAAGACCAACCTATTTAACTTTAATATATACTTAATTTAATAATTATTTAAATATTACCATATATTAATCCAAGTATTAATTTATAGATTGCAATGTTCTATTGTTATTTATTTTTTAAAAAATGCAATCCTAATTCTTATCTTTTTTCTTTGCGCCAACAACACTAGTCACTCTTCAAAAATATTTCGAAATTACACATCTTTAATGTTATTTGAACAATTTCTTTGTATTTGTAAATTGAGATTGTGCTTTTATTATATTTTCAAAGTTTATTTAACTTTGGAATTATTTTAAGTGGTGTAATCTTTAGTTAATTTATTTACTTTTTTATTTTAAATGGGTTCCAGGTAGGCCTGACAATTGGGTTGGGTTCGGGTTGGCGGGTCACGGGTTGGCGGGTCAGAAAACATAAACTCAACCCAACCCATATAATATATGGGTTGACGGGTTGGCGGGTCACGGGTTGGTGGGTTGGAAACCTTAACCCAACCCAACCCATATAACCCGTTTAAGTATATGGGTTCGCGGGTTCACAAGTTAATGGGTCAAACCCAACCCATATAACCCGTTTAATAAATAAACAACACATTTTAAAAAATGAGATTTTTTCAACATAAATTCATAAAATGATTAAAGTAATTAACATAAAAAAAGGTTTTCAAAATAAATTCATAAAGTCAATAACATCCAAATAAAAATGAAAAATGAAAACATTCATAGAAAGTAGATGTCTTCTTCGTTCGTGACTCGTGAAATAACGACATGTATTTTTTCTTTTTCTGATTAACGAACTGCAAATGCAAATTAGTCACATACGAATATGGAAGAAATATAATGATACGGAATATTACGAATACGGATGGAAATCAAATTAATTAATATATATATATATATATAATATATATATTATATATATATATCTATATATATATATATATATATATATATATATATATATATATATACGGGTTGGCGGTTGACCCGCGAACCCCAACAGATAACCCAACCCAACCCATAAAATAAACGGGTTGGTGGGTTGACGGGTTGGCGGGTCAAAAATCTCAACCCCAACCCGTCTATTTTCGGGTTGGGTCAGTGTCGGGTTACGGGTTGGGTCGAGAGTTGTCACCCCTAGTTCCAGGTTTAACCTATTATTTAATAGGTTGGGTTGGGAATTACA